TGGGAGGAAGAAGCAGAGAGGCAAGGGCCTTTGCTAGCACTGGAACTGAGCCAGTTCTGTCAGTTCTTCTACAGTCTTACTTTTCTATTTTCATTTTTTAGCTGAAATTAGCATCCTATCTTTCTGATTGATACACAGAGTAGAAAAATGACACGTCCTCCTGACAGCTTCAACACTGAGCCTTGAAATACAGACTAACATAGTAGGAACCTCATGCACTCACAGCCAATACTTCACCTATTTTGTCCCGTTTGGGAGTCTGCAAAAGCTGGTGGGAATTTGTTACTAACCTCTGTTGTGAGTACTTGTGTCACTGCCCAACCTTTAGTGCTGGATGTTCTTTCCTGATGCTGCAACCAAGAATGCAACACTTCTGTGTGAAATGCAATACTGTCAAATATCTCAAATATAATATTCAAAGCTGTGTGTGTGACTTCAGAACCCAGGTTCTATTTTTAAATGTAGCTTGTGTGCCCGCAGGTACACCTACAAAAGGACTTGGGCCTCCTTTGCACCTATCCCCAAACTGCAGTTCCTCAGATCTCCTGCCATCCCTCTGATCTCGCTGCTCAGCTGTGGTCACACAATGGCTTACGGCTCTTCTGATTATTCCAGATGAGTTCCATGATAAACATCTGTTTCTAGGCAAGCAGATAGAGTTTGGCTTATGCCTCAGCCCGCTGAGATGTTCCTGGGCCTCCTTGTTCTATGGAGGCTGATATGACAATGTTTTCAGAGCAGTTTCTCTGAGATTCTGGCAGAGTGGGATGGCAGCCGAGGAGGAGGTGTTGGCGTTTCTATTTCCAAGAGCACAGTACTCATCTGAATGTGTGAGAAGCCTGTGCTCAAGTTTCAAAATGCTCGAGAAGCACTGAAACTGTAGTCCCAGCAGGGCGACTCCAGAGCAGTTTTCTGAGTCTCAGTGCAGCACACAGGAGCGTGGTGCCCCTGGCGAGGGGGAGGGCCTGCGGGTGGCTGGTGGTCAGCCTGCTCATGCAAGGAGAAGGACAACTGTCAGCTCCTGTCCCTCTGGTCCCTGGTCCCAGGCTGGTTCACCTGGCTCGGGATGGCTGTGTCTGAAGCAGTGCAAGGGGTTGCTGTTTGTTATCCCCCCACTTGGGGCTGACTCACTTCCTGCCTTCGTAACTCATTTGAAACCTTCCTGTTTTTGACTCCTGACTGCAAAACATCTAGTGAAGTCATTTATGAAGCTGGTTACAGAAACTGTATTCTGCTGCCCCATACTGCTTTGCATCAATTCTTTTTGGCCCAGCTGGCTGGTAGGACAGCAGCGGTTTTGGGGTTTTTTTTTTGCACACTGGAACACAGCGTTGCTACCAGTGGGAGCCTCCTGTCAGGAGCTGAGCTGTATGTAGGACCTATGCTCAGCAGGCATCGCAGCAGGGCAGCAGGCCAAGGCCTCACTGAGATCATGGGGCTCTCATGGTGTGGTAATCAACCACTCAGGACCTTGCCTTTTTAGATAGAAAAACAACTTATAGCAAAATGGCTAAAAGAATGATAAACCAGAGAGGGATTACCCTGGCAGGGTTCAAGAATCTAGGGTGGATACATTGGCTGTCATGGAGGACCCTGAACAAAACTGCAGGGCTCCTCTGGTGATACTGGAGCCTTCTGTGCAGCTACAGAGCAAAGCTTTTCCTTTAGGACAAGTAATATGGGCATGTATGTGCACTCACGTACACAAACAGGCTCTGTGGGGGAGGTTAATGGTGTTTCTGTGTGAATCTCTGCAGGCATTTCCTACTGGGAACGATTCCCAGTACAGAAAAGAATGTCACGGAGGGCAGCTTCAGCTCTCCTGTCTTGGCACATTCCCCCTTCTTTGTGAGCCCTGTCTGCCAGCAGAGCCCTGTAACTTCTGCAGGCTGCACGGGGCAATAGTAGTACGCAGAAGGGCTGCTCCTACTGTTCCCCTCCTCTCTTCCAGGTATGTTGCCATGGCCCTTTGCTGCTCACACAAGAGTTGGAAGCGCTGTCTTTTAGCTTATATATCCATCACAGTGCAAAATAGAGCTTATCTGGTTTGTGATATATCTTTCTAAACATGCAAAATTTCACATTTCATGAAGAATTTCCCCAGGTTTCTTTATCAGCTTCTTTTGAATCAAATGGCTGCACTGCATATTAAAGCCATGAGATAGAAGTCAGTAGGAGAGTGCACAAGACTTATACGTGAATTCAACCTGAAGAAATTTGACACCTAGAAACAAAAAAGTAAAAAAGAACATAGTATGTTTAAGGCTTTACACAACAGAAAAAAAGACCTATGGAACTCATCTCTGAAGATAAAATAAGCAATTTGTTACAGAGAAATGCTGTAAGCAGGAATGGAAGATTTATGAAATTATGCAAGAAACATCTGTATGTCTACTGTGCTTTCTGAAGACAGTTTTTGTGAAAGATACTTACGTATGAATCTGATTTATCTCTGATGCCTCCATGTTTCATACTGCTGTAAAGCTTTTGCTTAAATAGCTTTACTTATGAGAGACTCTCTCTTCTGAGAACACATTCCTCCCCAGTGAAAGAGGAAAATTAGCCCCTTGTATTTATAAAGAATACAGAGAACAGCAATGAATAAAGCAAAAAAGCTGAAACTGCCAGGTGGTGCTGACAGCAGAACCTGGGCTGTGATTTGGTGCCTTTACAAAGTACTGCTTGTCTACATATTGTGTTTCTGAGAACATTGCACTCAGGGCTGTATTGTTATCTTGTTTAGCTTAACATAATATTGCCTCAAGAAATTCCAGCCACTGAATTAGGGTGAGGTCTAGACTTCCTGTCAAAAAACAAATTCTGCTAGTCAAAACTTTCCAGATGAGATGTGAAGATGATAGTAACCATCCCAACTGATGTCAGCTGTTGAGAATGATGCACAGCATATATATCTTCTCTTTTCTGTCACCATATAGCTTTTTTCCCTGAGCCTTTGCTTTAGCTCCACAAAGCGAACTGAAGAACCTGTCCTGCCACCTTTCCTTTCTGAAAGCCTATATAAGTGTTTAGACTTTACTGGTCGTGTTTTCCTTCTTGCTTGGAAAATGGACTGAGGAAGTGCCATTATCTCCCTGTGGATCTCTCTGCTGCTGTTGAGCTACTTTCTGTTTTAGGTTATTCAGCTGATGAGCGCATAGTGAAACTTACCTCTTGTCACCCAAGAAATGGAGATAATCCCTACCAGAGATCACCCAAACCAGCGAGAGTGTATTGGATTGCAGGAAACAGATTAATTTAGTTCAGAGCTGCTTACAAGGAGGTTTTAAAACATGGGACTGAGGTGGGGATATGTGATGAAAGTTGCACCAGTGAGCACTGCAAATGCTGCTGAATTTCAGCCCGAAATATAACTGTTCTCTCTTGTGCAAAGACTCGTGCAAGTTCATTCAAGCATCACTACTGTTAAGTCCTATCAGGGCCTTTGCTTCTCATACCCAAACTTGACAAGCATCAACCACCAGAAAGCTCAAGGCAGTGCCTGAGAGCTCAGACACAGCATTTTCTTTGACTACACTGGGTATTTCTTGCTGCTGAAAGATTAAATCTCAGTTCCAGATGCTTTTTAAACATCGGGATATTTCACACTTGGATCTGCACTCAGAGTCAATGGATCTGCCTTCCAGTGATACTTACTTACTTGTTGTTACTTATTTCAATAGGGCTATTAAAATAGTGAGTAGTTTTGTGTCTGAAGTCTCTGCTCCTGTGAACTGTATTTTGTGCATTTGCCAAGTTAAGAATCTGTAAACTAGACCTTGGGATGAAACAAAAGATGATACAAACCTTTGTTTTGAGTATGGATGATCTGAGCCTTTGTACAGACTCAGAGGAATGTGGTTATTAACAACAAATAGTCTCTCAATTTTTCTCTTCTCCAAAGTAACTGGTCCACACATGAGCACAGTTTTTGTGGTAACCCTAAGGGTGAGCGCAAACATCAGAGTTCTCATGAAAAGCATTTGATATACTTTATGGTCAGAGAGGGGGAAGAAAAGTAAGACTGGATTGCTGCAGATCCACAATACCCGGGATAGTGCTCCCAGTTCCCTCTAGACCTGTAGACAGACTGGGTTTCTCCAAGCTCTTCAAAAATTGTCTGTGAAGGATTACTTCCCAGAATATGTCCTCAAGAAGCTCCCAAGCTCTCTGGCTAGGCTGGGATGAAGGTGGCAGCGGAGCAGGAGTGATTGCCTTTGGTGAGCCCTGATTCAGTGTCGGTCTGAAATGCAAGGTGTTGGGTGTTCAGACAATGGTGGTGGAAGTTTAATCTTCCAGGGATAAATCCACAGATCAGAGAGCAGAGCATGCCTCTACAGGATTTGTACTGCTATTCTGCAATGAGAAGCTGGGAAAGAGTTTGGAAATATCCATCTAATGCCTGGTAAATGAGTGTCTATGCTGAACAAAGCAAACATTGCCACACTTGCCAGTTTTGCCAGTGAAGCTTGTAGGATGAGTGGGCACTGGAGTTTCAAGTAATCCCTCTCTCAGAAGCAATCTGTCTCGAGTCAATGGTGAGCAGCATTGGGATGGGGCAAGCAATCTGTGCTGCTGTTTCTGCTGCGCTGTTTGTGGATAAATGAAGGCATTTAGTTAACCAGACGTGTAATTCCAGACCGTTTTAATAAGTTTGAATTACACACACTGAGCATCTTGATGCAGGTACGGAAGAATAGGTTTGTTTATGCCAGTTTTAAATACCACTCACGTTATTTTGGATACCAGTGATGTTAGACTACAAGTCTAATCTCTTCTCTGTTAGGGACTTACTTTTTATTTAGATTTTAAAACTGTATTCAAATGAGGTTTTGACCGAAACTGAATCACTATGTACTTGAAAGCTAAGGAGCTTATCAGGCATCTGATAATGTTTTCAGGATTTCCCCAGATTAGACCGCGGAGTGTACAGACAGGAAGCTGAAGTATTGAGCGCCTGACCAGAGCTTCCTCCTGTGCAAGAGTGGGGGTTTCTCCAACTTGAATCTTTAGCTTTACAAGCACAGTCTGAATCTTGAAGTCCAAAGGATAAAAAGCACCCAAATCTCTCAGCTGGGTCCAAGAGCATGGAGAATGGAGTACTGCACTTACGCCCTGCTTGCAAGGTCAGCGAAAACACCTCTCCCTGCTACTGCTTACCTTCCTGGCTCCTTATCAAGCAGGGAATCAGAAAGGGACTTTCCAGAGCTATAAACATGTGAGCTGAAGAGATGGAATGAACCTTTATGCAAATGTCTTGATTCCCTTCCCTTTATAAAGATAAAAAGTTTTTGAGAGAGCAACGGTTCCTCCAGAATGTGGGTGTCCAGAGTTATTGCCTCGGACTGGCTGGATCTCTCTGTGCTGTCTGTCTGTCTGTCCGCCTTTCTTTCTGCTTGTCTGTCTTTCCATTGTAGAGAACAAAGCGGAGTGATGTAAAACAGAAAATGAGAAAAGCAAACCTTTGGTGATTGAAGAGGAGGAAGGAAAATGAAAGAGAAAAAGCTGAAGAGTGGGAAAAAGAAATAAATAAAATGAATTTTGGGGATTCCACTGTGAGTAAGAGCTAAAAAAAAAGTAAGCTGATTTATTACATATTTATCTTCTGCCAGAGAATCAGTGCTCCTTGTGTGTGTGAGGGGTGAACTGCACATTAAAGATTGAATCAAAATGCCAAATTCTTCCTCAATTCCTCCAGCTTTAAACGAGTGTAATTCCGACAGCTCCGATGGATTTACAATTTGTAAACAGCAGCTGAATCAAGATCAAGTCCTTTAAGTCATTTTGAGTTATATTTATGCTGAAGTTATGAGAAATTTAGAATGACTTTTAAATAACGTTTTGTCAGGGAAGCTGCACATTTTCTAATGCTTGTCTTCACTGGGCAGGAATTTTGCTATGGTCACTGAGGTGCTGTTTTGACTTTATTCTGAATCCAATGGCAGTACAGAAAGAAGGGGTGATGTTTCCTTGCATTATGATTTATGTATGTTCATTTTGACTTTACATGAGTATTTTAACAACTGTTTAAATGGGGAAATGGCATGAGGGAGTTGATGTAAGTATTTTTTTTCTCCATGAAATGCCGCTGATTTTGAAAGTGCAGTGTTTGACTCCAGCAGGAGGGTTTAGCTGGCTACACCTTGCTTTCTTTCACATTAATTCCTTATTCTTTTGCAGCTTTATTTCTTCCTTTGCATGCTCTGAGCTTAGCTGGGCATCCAAAACTTTGTTCTACAGTATGAAAGAAGAGGGACAGAGGACGCACCACAGGTTTTCTTGGTGAAATTTCCAGGCTTTTGTAGGTGTTGAGATGGGCATCTGGAGCCTGTAGGATAAGGCAGCTCCCATCCCTCTCTTTCTTCATGTAATTAGACAGTTATTCTTATGTTCTTTTTTATTTCAGAATAGTTTTTTTTGCTAAAAAATGTCGTTTTGAATGAGCCGAAATTATTGACAGAGATGGACGGGGTGGTGCAAATAGTATTGGATAAACATCATAAAAAGTAGAAATATTTTGACATTTTTAGAATTAAATGCTAATTCTTTCTTTGAATATGCTATTTTCATTTTCATGTTGTTCTAACATATTGTTTTTATGCAGCAATAGTGACAGCAAAGAAGAAACAAAGTATTCTGTTTTAGACCAAGAAGTACCCTCTAGTACAGCTAAAATTATTTGCTTATTTATTTATTGTTCAGAAAAGAACAATAATCACTCCAGGTTCCGCTAAATGGCATTTTTCTTTTTTTTTTTTCTTCTTCTTTTATTTTTGTTATATATATGTATATATATATATATATATATATATATATAGTTAGTAGAGGAAAACATGGCTAATTGCCACAACCAAAAGTCCACACCATTGTCAGGACCAGCTATATTTCAGCTGTATTAATCAGTCAGAGTATGGAGATTTCATGGGCAATTAAAAAGTGGATTATTTTTATGAGAAAAATGTACCCTTTAATGTGCTTTTATTGGTCTTTTAGATTAAATATATAATCCACCTTTTCCCATAATTAGAAAAAAAAAAAAAAAGAAGAAGAAGAAGAAGAAAAATCAGTTTTCATTATTGAAATAGATTTTCTGGAAAACTTTTGACCCAATTCCCTAACATCATGAAAGGCTGCAGCTAGTCTCTTTCCCGCAGTGTTTCAGGTGCCCGTGCTCCATTGCAGCTTCCACTGGGGCTGAGTTCTTCCCTTGGGAAGCAGAGCCTGGAGATCCTGGAGCTGAGGGATGTTTGCCAGGACAGAGGTTTCAAGTGTGTCAGTGACTGCCTGCAGCCTTTGTGGGGGATTCAGTAAGGAGAAATCCGGAAAACACAGAGCTGCTGAAAACTATTTCAAAGCTTGGATTCTTTAGTGCATACTGGATAGCCAAGTCGACAACTTGAGCAATGCCATGTGTAGAAATCAAAGAACATCTTTACTTTCCATTGTAATCATTTGTAGCAGTCAACACACTTGATTAAAACGTTCTAGAGATGATCATCGAATCTGAATGGCACCCAGAACTATTTTCTTTAAAATCAGCCCTGGTGAGCTCAAAGGGAGCCAGAATTAACATGGTGGTGAGCTTATCCCAGTGAGGAGAAGGCTGGCTCCCCGCGGGCTGTCTGCATCAGCGCTTCTCAGCCTTTTCTAATGGGGCCTTTTTGGAAAAGCCACGGCTGGACCATTTCCCATGCACAACAAGGAGCCGTCTGCACCTGCAGGCGCTCACTGGCAGCATCCAGAGAGTGGCTCCCGGCTCCGTCTGCCAGCACTGGCGCTTCTCTGCCAAACGGAGCAGACGTGTGGTTTGGATCTTCTAAATGAGCTCGTGCACTGAGCAGGTTCTGGTGTCTGACAGCAAGCGGTGGGCTGCAGCCCATGGGCTGTGTAACACCCACCCAGCCCCCAGTGGTGTCACACCTGCACCTGGTCACGAGCCAGAGCTCTCGGGCTGTTGCATTCACTGTTATGTGCCTCTGCATAGCTATGGCCGGTCTGCACAGCACTTGAGCTGTTTCATTATTCTGATTTTAATAGTAGTCAATTTCAGTGAATTAATGTTGAAATGGGCTATGTGTGAACAGAAAGCGCGCTTGCTCTTCACAGCTTATTTTAAGTAGCTACAGTATAGTTACAATATAAATACAGCCATCTCTTGTAGGATCACTGGAGTTTGAAGGGATGTTTAAAAGCCTTTGAATCCAACCAGCCTTTCTATATTTCAACTCCATCTTTTATGTTTCAAGTATTCAGATATTGAACCTGTCTGAAAAAAAAAAAATCTCCAGTTTCTAATGGATTTCTAACTAATAAATAATTGAATAATAATAGCCCAATATAAATAAGAATAAAATCCTTGCTGAGAGATCATGGCGTTCCTTTTTTAAATAATGCAATAATTGCGAAAACATTTTAATTAATTAAAACTATTAATTAAAGTTTGCCTGTTTTTCAACTACTTACGCAGGGCCTAATCACTTCGGGTTAGTGATACAGAGCACAGCAGTTGCACAGGGACAAAGACTTGTAAGTATCTGTGTTATTGCCACAGATAGAACAATGCCAGTTCTTTTGAATTCTTAAAGATGTAGAAATTGGAAGGGAGCAAGGAATAGCCAGCTAGTCTCTCCTGTTTGCTTTACCCCCCTCTCACTGTGTTACTGGATGTTTAGATTGTGTCTGACATGTATGGCTGGACCAGTCCTTTCTGGTGCTTGGTTCCGCCATGTGCATCAGGAATTGGTTCGGGTGAGCAATTCATAATACCACGTGTTGGGATGCAGCACGTGCCTTGCACCCAGCATCTGCAGCACATGCCTGGTTGGATATCTGAGCCCAGGGAGGAAGCGCTGCTGGATTTGGGACCAGCTCCATATATGAAGAGGTAGGCCTTTTCCTGACACTGTTACTGACATGAAACGTTTTGCCGTTAGGATTAAAAACGTATCAATGAAATGATAAGGAATAAATAGGGTTGGAGTTTCACAGCTTTGCAAGGGCTTTTAACTTCTCGGCTCTCATTTGCCCTCATTAGCATGCTGAGAATGGGCTTTCTGGCTGTCCTTGCTGCTCCTTGCAACATCTGGGCAGTGTCAATGCAGCTGTTACTGCAGTTGTGTCCATGTGCAAAGTGCATGTTTTATACTGTTTACATTCCCTGCTCAGTGCTCCCTTCGGTCCTCTGGCAGTGCATAGAGAGAAATCTGGAAACAAGGATATCTGTATTTTTCAGTATAAAAACATGTTGGAATCGTGTTTGGAGAGGTGTAACCTACTGTGCCTTCCTTTAAGCGTAACTGAAACTGTGCTGTAGTATCACCATACTCTATGCACGACAGAGATTACTAAAAGTACTTGTTTTGAGAGGCTTTTATAATTATTACTGATGGCAAGAAAGTTTTAAAGCTCTGAAACAAGTTTCTCATGCTATGATTTTCCATATGATTGTTTTAAACACCCACAGTGTTCATGCATGGCAGTCAAGGTGTAATATGTTTCAAATATCGATCAAAGCATTTTGCCATGTATTTTTTTCTTTAAATTAAATTAGTGGTGCAATGCAAAAACTGTCAGTTTCAGGTCAAGAAATGAAATGGAATATGTAATGATTTTTATCTTTCGCAAAGGAAAACGGTCTGTTGCACAAAGTAATGTGTTGTTGGAAAATGTGATTAAAATGGTGACAACAGAACTGAACCTCCAGATAAGCAGAGTGGAATAATTCTACAGGGGAGGAAATTGCATGTTTGTTATTCGTGACATGGGTATTGGCAGCAGAAACACAGCTACTGCCTGAAATTAAAAATGCATCCAGAAAGTAACTGCGAGTTTCAGAAAGCAGTTTGGGAACAAACGCAGCTGCTTCTGCCAAGAGCAAAACATGGGGGGGGGGGGGCGCTCCAGGGGGGCTAACACAAATTCATAATAAAATGTGAGATTGTTTCTTTCAAATACAAGTATAAAAAATAGGGTTTTTTTAAAGCTCTTTTTTTTTTTTTGTTTAGTGGAGGGGGACTACAAAAGTCTACGTGTTCTTCCTGGGCTGAAGGCATTGCTGGCTTGATGCATTTGAAGGGTTCAGGAGGAGGAATCAGTTTCTTGTTTGACAGTGGGAGCCCAGGGAGCGATGCTGGAGCAGGGCGTGCCTAGCAACCAGGTGTCTGTCTGATGGAAATAGTAGAGCAGAGTGCAGCTCAAGTGTGAAGCTTTTTCTTTGCGATTGCACTGGAGGTCTGCTCTTGTATTTTTCAGTACTGAATACGGTTTTTACAAAACTGGGGATGAGTTGGAGCTTCTCTGCTTGTAAGCACAGAGATGTTTGTCTGCAAACATGGATATTTGCTTTATCAAAATGGATTAACAAAATTGACAAAGCGCTAAGATATACAGAGTGTTTGCCTTGTGTCCAAGCACTGTGTCAGGACCTCTCTGCTGATCCTTATATTTTAACGCAGAGCAGCTCTGTATTGGTGCATGTAATGGGAGCAGAGCTGCTCAGCAAAGCAAGGGCCCAGCTGCTGTGCTGCCTGTCCTGCCGCCTCAGTGCCTCCTTCTTCTGCTCTGTCCTCTTGCTTCATCCAGCCAGATGGCAGCATAGCTGTGGGATATGTGTTTTCCCACTAGCTATGGGGGGGAAATGTATTTAACTCAATAAGGGTGAAAAAGATGCATTATGCTCCTAATGAAATGTGACCATATTCATATTTTTATTTCAAGTTCCCCATCAGTGTTAATTAATTATCACTCACAATGTGCTCATTTAAAACGTATCTGGATTCACACGGAGCTGCAGTACATCATTGACTGGTTAAGAAGCATTAAAATCTCACTCTTTGGTGTGTACACAGACAAATGTAGATGTTGTATTAGCAAGAAAGGTACTAACAACAACATGGAGAATAAAAATAGGGGATGGTAAGGAAAACGCCAAAGTTTTACACAATCCATTAACTTGATAGCTTTAGGATCATTATGTTCATTTCCTGTTAAAACATATTTAATTCAGAAGGAAACTTATGGAAGAATAGTCTTCAGGCACTTAACATTACTTAATCACTCTAAAAAGATTCGCCTTTTGGTGTAGCACTAAAACTTTATACAGTGATTGCCTATTAAGTGCCTGTCCTTTAGGGATAGTTATTTCTAGTGTAATAAGACCTCCAAGCTGTGAGGTACTAAGTGACCCTGATGGAATAGGAAAAAATAATGTTTCTTCAATAAGTGGATTTATGGTCTGTTGAGAGGCTCACCTCCTTACTGCTCTTACAGTGGTAGAACAGTATAATTCTATGGGCTTTCTTCTTGTTTGCAAGTGCACGAATTTAATTCTTGAGAAAATGAGTTCTCAGAGGCTGGCAGACGCTCCAGGAATGACACTGATAGGACAGAGGATGCCATGTGTGAAGTTGATATTGGGTCAAAGCAGAATGTGTCTGACATTGGCATTGTGTGTTTTTAAGGTGAAAGAGAACCAATGCGTTGTGACGACACTAAATGCAGCAGGAAAACTGAGAGAGAGTTTGACCTTTTCTCCTACATATTTTAAAAAAACCTCTAAAATCAACTTACCTTGAAAATGACTGGGATTGTGAAGATGCACTCATCCATACCAGCAGTTTAGGAATTTAAGTTAGACAGCGGCTGTGCTGGTGGAGAATCTGGGTGGGATGTCCTTCAGGTGGAACACTGGGACATGTTAGCTTGCTTGCAGCTACCTCAGGTCCATTTACTGAGCATTGAGGAGGGGGTTGTGATGTTTTCCCTTGTCTTTAGTGTGTCTGATTGGTCAGAATATAAATGAGCAACCAAATCAGTGTCCCCCTGCTCTGGGTGCCCACACAGTGCTGGCTGCTCCAGGGCATACCTATCGACTCTGTGCCCAGGAGACTGTTCCAGGGGCACTTCCATGCTTTATTCTATTTGGCTACTTCTCTATTTTACCATACTTCATTCCATTACCATTCCATTACCATCAATGTTTTCATTGATCACTGTTTGATTTTTTTCATATTCTAGACTTGAAGAGTCACTATCACAGCAGGGCTGGGCTACAGAAAGATATCTCGCTTTACATCAGCAAAGATCTCCTTGGTAAGCCGTGCTCCTGTGACCAATCAGAAAAACCAAACAAGCAAAATGCATTGAATTACAGAATCATGGAATTATTGAGTTTGGAAAAAAACTGTAAGATTATCAGGTCCAGCCACCCACCCACACCAACACTGCCCACTAAACCATGTCCCTGAGTGCCACATCTCCATGGTTCTTGAACACCCCCAGGGATGGTGACTGTACCCCCTCTCTGAGCAGCCCGTTCCAGTGCCTGACTACTCTTTCAGAGAAGTTTTTCCTAATATCCAACCTGAGCTTCCCCTGGTGCAACTTAAGATCATTCCCTCTTCTCCTATCAAATGAGACTGCTGTGATATCTTCTTTCAAATGAAAATTTGCCTGTTATTTGAGGGTCTTAACAAGAAGCTACTTGTGCTAATTTGTTTTTTTCTCTCTATAGTAGATGTCTCACAAAGCCAGCAGCCTAACTGGGGGGACTGAACTGGTCTGAGGGTACCACAAGACACTTGCTTTGCAAGAGAAATTGTTCAAGAAGCATATTTGAAAATTCTGTTGTTTGGATGACTGCCTTAATAAACTAAGAAAACAATTAACAGCAGTAGAGCCACAGGCATGCTGTGGGATGCTGCAGCAGCCAAACTGCTGGGTGCTGTGCCAAGCACTGCGCTGGGGCTCTGCCGACTGGGCTGCGGGTGCCGCTCCGTCAGCTGAAAAAGTGGCACAGGGTGTTTGCAAAATCACTCATTTCCCTCTGCTCAGGTGTTGGCTGTTCACTCGTAGTGAAGGTTTTAGAAAGAAATCTGAGAGCTGTTCCTAGTGAAATGGTTTAGAAAAGCTGATGCTGATTGCTGCAGGACAGGCTGTATAGAAAACAAGATTTGACATCCATGCAGAGCTCAGCCCACTGCGTGGCAGTCACCAACGTGCTGCCAGTGGGCTCTGCTGGGAGGGTCGGATTCCTGCCACCACTGGGCAATCTTTTTGAGGGTGATTAGAATAAATTGGACATTTTTATTGGAAATTTGGAAAAAAATTTTCAAATTACTCTCTCAGGGGACAACATATAAACTCCTTAAACTTTTAACATTTTGTTTCAATATTTCATAAATATATGCTTACTTATAATTTGCTTATATACTTATAAGAAAACCAGCACTAGAACAAAATAATTCATTCTCTTTCAGCCATGCTGTTAAATACATTTACCTAAATTTTGTTTGTGAGGGTAAAGTGAAAGATTTAATCTGAACCTCTTCAACCTCCAAATATTTTACCTCACAGCAAATATTTCTTTTCACTGATCCTGAAAAGACTTTTTGAGACATCTCATCTGGAATATAGAGAAATATGCTTAAACTGTTCCAAATAAATCTGAAACTTTTTTTTTTTTTTTTTTTTTTTTAATGGGGACACCACAGAGTGTGTGCAGTGCTGTGCAGATGCAGTGTCTCATCTAGTGACGTTGAAGGGATGAGCACATCATCCAACATCTTACCCAATCTGTTTCTCCTCAAAAATTCTAAGTTTGGGGTGTGAAGTTTGATGACACCAGTGACTTCTCTTACATTTGTACAGTAATGATGAGGTGTTTCCTGGCTGAGATGCCAGCTTTGATCACCAGTGCACTTGAGCAGCACTTTATCTGTAGCTCAAAACTGCTGTGCTGGGGTAAGGCTGTCACCCTGGGATGAGACTGTCACATCAGAGCAGGCTGTGCCACAACAGCAGGGCAGCCATGGCACGGATGGCTCCTGCTTGCCTTTCTGCCACCCAGACTCTGATGGCTGGAGGGTTGTACCCATACTGGAATTCCTTCTTTGGAGCATCTAGAAGTATTAGATTGCTGTATGACTCTGGAAGATTTTACCTCTGTGCCTTCATACTTTATTTAAAAAAAAGAAAAAAAGAAGAAGAGAGAGAGAAGAAAAAGAAGGAAATGTATAACTTATCCCTGTGAAATTCTCAAACAAAGGCTTCCAGGAAAGTGCTGAGTGTTGTACTGTTTATGCTCCTTAGCTATAAATTTCATTTTTTATTACCAGCGATTCTGCTATGTGTTAGGGCACCTTCTGTCTATGAATGTGGCCTCCTTTGTGCCAAAAGAAAACATAAAATAGCCTGTTTCTCAATATATATGTCCTCAAGCCATTATTTTGCATCTGACCTATGGTCTGGATAGAGTTGCTTTGGCTACAGTGAAGATTTCCCTCTTCTGTTTTACAGCACCTGGAGGAAAGCCAAGCACCGGGGAGAGAGAGCAGAGGATGAGATAGAGCCACTCATCAGAATGGCCTTGAAACGAATGTTGTGTATCCTCAGCTTTGAGAACTGAATTCCATGGGTTGTAATTGAATCCTTTGTCAGACCCATGGGGCTCAGTTCTTCAGCTTGGATATTTCTGTCTTCACATACACCGGAGATCAAAGAAGCACTTGATCATGTGCTGACTCTTCTGGATTCTGATAGCAGCAAATAGGAAGGAGAAAGAATAACTGATGTGAATCACTCTGGCAGGGAGGTTTCACTGCAAAGACCAAGCTCTCTCATGTCGAGTAGCTGCACAGTGATTGAACCTCTCCGTGGCTGATAGTCTGTCCCTGCATGGCTGCTTGCTGGTTAATTCAACTCCCAGTTTTATCGAAGTTACACATAAAGTGCTGAGATGATGTTGACTGAATTATGCTTCCCAAAAATTGTGTGCGCTGCTGAATGTGGCTCTGATCCCAGATGGGACCAGCAGCACCCCGGCCCTGCCAGGTCTATCCACTGTCGGTGTGCTGCAGCCTCCCGTGGGATCACTGCTGCACAGTTACTGTTTCCTCTTTTTTGGCCACCTGGAGGTGGACTCATTCAAGTTGTGGGCTGCCAAAGTTTGTGTTTCTTCCTTGGAAGATCCGTGTTAAAGTTTATTTTCTTTCAAGCGTCAGGAAAATAAAATTTATGGTCTTCAAACACGTAAAGAGGTATAATTACCAACAAGATTTCTACTTCGTTCCTGCAATAATAACCCTTCCTAAATTACATTTTTCAAACTCAGTAAAATGGATCAGTTACTGATCTCATCCCTGTGGTGCAATGCTGTTAAAAGCACAGGAATATTAAAATCCCACAGGTGCAGGAGGAGCGTGTTCAGCTAAGTAGTTTAAAGCTGCTGTGTGCCTTTTATTCTGAAAATGTATTTACACTAAAAATAATCAGATGTAATCACTGTTGCCTGTGGATACAGATGTACCTTTGTACCGATGTGCTTTTCATATAAATTTTATTCTAGGGTTTGAAGGCTTTCTTTGTGGCTGTCTGAAGCATATCATGCTCCCCAGTTGTGAGATAATGGTTCTTGGAAGGACTCACCAGTCCCACCAGCTCCTGCTGGGAGATATCCATTAAACAAGGAGGAGAAACACATACAAATGAAAGGGAAATTCTGAAGTTTCATTTCTGCTATACTCCCTGTCAAGAAGAGGGAATTAAACTGGAGGTCAGAGTTAGCAAAATCTGCAAAAGAAGAGAGTGAGGCAGCAGCTGCACAGAATGCCTGAGGCAGGCATCCGCTAGCAGGGCTGCAGCCCCACCTCTGGGGCAAAGCCCAGCCTGCAGGCACTGATGCAGCACAGGAGATGTGTGTGTGATGGCAGCCTCACAAAGCCACTGATGAAATCAAGATAGCCTTTGGTACAGCAGTTTTACTGCCCTATCACTTCAAGGGTGGTCCTTCAAGCATGGTGTTAGTAACGCCGGTTTTGCTCAGAAATGTACCGTAAGTTGTGAACTAACAATAGTGCTGCTGGTGTCTAGCTGGAAGTAATGGAATTTCTAGTCCGCTCTTAAATCCAGCCTGCCCTTCAGCCCTCAGTGCTGACCACTCTGTGTGCTCTTCCTTTGCTGTGAGCTCCTGTAGTTATTTTGATCCTTCCTTGCCCAACATGACAAAGCATTCTCTTTCCGGATACTCCGGGGATCTTTTCTTTAAATCACATGGTTCACCTTTCAAGAGCACTCCTGCAGAATTAAAATTATTTTTAACACGTGGCTTCAAACCAACTTGCCTTCTGCCTGCGCAGCCTTGCAGTATGCACAAAGACCCCTCTCCAGTCTGAGCTGGGCAATGCTCAGGCACTCCAACATGCCCAGGACCTCTGATGTGATTCCCATTGTGCACCTGGGTATGCGATGTGCTGGTTGATATAATACCCAAATTCTTTTAGCTTCTTCTGTACCCAGGCTTATGAAACTGATCGTTTTAATTTAGGCCTCTTCGTGTTTAATTTCAGAGGGAAATGTTGATTTGTCATTGTAATTTTTGCTTCTCTTTACAGACTCATTCAGGTGAATTCAGCTGTATTTGTTGCTGCTGTAGACTTGAAACTCAATTTTGGGCCAAGTAAAGCATTTGCTAGAAAAGATTACCCTTCTCTCTATTTTTTTCTAGCTGATTTACACCTCTTTCCAGTGTTTATTCACAGATCTCAGCCTGCACATTCTGTTCAGGTAAAGCAGTGGGCTGAGTCCTCCTGGCACAGCTATGGCAGAGCAGCATGACCACCCACATTTTACAGATAAATAAACTGAGTCCTGACCCTTAGAATGGGACAACAACCCTGAATTCCATTGTGTGCCTGCTGTATGTCAGTTCTGACTTTCTGCTTTTCATTCCCAACACATAAATGACAACAAGCACCTTCACCTGCTGGCAGGAGTGTTCCTCACTGTCCCGCTGAGGTTTTCTCCCTTGGCTGAGGTTCTGTCTCCACTTGCTGACCAACCACTGGTCCATTTCGCTTCCTCCCACCCCATGAAAGCCTCTGCCTTCGTTCTTGATACTGTGTGCACCTTGCCTGGTGGGTGCTGGTGGGAGAGGGGTGGGTGCCAGCTGCAGACTAGTATTTCTGCTCAGCAAATGATCTCAGGCACTTTCTAAAGGGTGACTACACACTGCACACTGCTCTGCAGAAGGCTCTGTGCTTGCTACCCTTTGGTACCCCAAGACAAGCTAGCTGCTGCCAAGTGCAGCTCATCCATTTTTGGCTAGCAGCCCTTTTTGCTTCCAGGAAAATGATGAGTTTATGTCAGGTTCAGTAATCCTGATGTCTGCACAGCTGAGAGAAATAGCGCTTTAATATGTGCATGACTGTGCATGTGTATATATGGAAACTACAGCTTTGACAAGCCTCTCGTCTGCCTTGGGAAGGAAACAGCAGGGTTTGAAAGCCATGGAGTCGCAATGCGCTGGCTAAGGTCAGCAGCTTTCAGTGACTCACAATCTGTTTTCCTGGCAGCCCTGCCATACAGCAGGTTGTGCCTTTTTTATCTTCTGATTCTTTCTTTTTTTTAAGAAAAGAAAGGCCTACATGAGAAAAGCTGCTAGCTCCAGACGTCCTGGAAGGCCTCTCCCTTTGACAGCATGCATGTTCTCGAGTACAGAAAGCTCTGCTCACTGGAATCTCTACCAGCCTATTTTCACACTGATACAGCTCTTTCAATTTACATTAGATTGAAGTTACTCTGAAAAATATTTGCTAGGCTGTCTCTCTGGTAGCCATCCTTGCTTTCCATTTTCTGTATGCTTGCAGCTGAGCTGAGGAGGAGCAATGGGCACAGGCAGCTGAAAGCTGCTCAGGCACCAAGATGCCTCTGGCTACCATTAAGCATCTAGTTTTGAGTAAGAGGGACAGATTTGTTTCACTTTTTCTTCCTTTTCTTTGCTAAAAATAGGATTCACACTGCCTCAGCATTTAAAAATAATATGTGGATTGATCAAATAATGTAATTTGTTAAAAGAACCTGAAAAGATAGAATTTTTTTACTTCCATTTCTTTTAATTTTTTTTGTTCTTTTTTTTCAGGCTTTCTTTAACTTTCCTCACCTTTGTTTCCCTTTCATTTATATTCCCAACATTTTGTTGTCAGCTGCCTCCTATACATACTGGAACAAGCACGGGCAATCATTGGGAAAGGCGGCTATTTCATTTCAAGACAAGAAGGAAACTTCTGAATCATATTTGCAATAAACATAAGCTGTGCTCAGATTTGTCTCTACAGGTACATATCTGCTCTGACCTGCGAACCTCCAGCTCTGCCCCACACACATGCAGGCACAGCCCCATGCTGTGCAATACAGCCCATACCTCCTAGGAGCAGTTCACAGACAAATGAAGCAGCCTGTGTAACAACAGTTGCCACCGTGATGATCCATGCAGGTTCACAAGAACATATTAAATAGTGGCCATTCATTTGTTGTTCAGAAAAAAAACAAACAGCCATGCATTTCTACTTTCTATAGACAGCAATTCAATTATTATTGGGCTTGAGTCTCCTTGTAATCCTGTGAGAAGTTTTATTATTTATTTATTCTCATTTTATAGACCAACATACAGGGACATACTTGGCTGAGGACACAAAATGAATCTATCTGAAGCTTTCTAGGAATTCTGCCATAGTTAATATCACTTGTTGAAAAGCATTAGTGTAAAGGAGGCCATCAGTCTCTTCACAGCCCATCCGCCTCTGAACAGATACACACAGTGCAGAGATGTCCATTTTTTGGTTGCATTGCTGCTCAGAAATTTGCTCTGCCTCTTCCTGCCTGCAAAAGGCTTTGCAAGAGAGCAAAACGACGAATCCCACAGCAAGAAGGACCATCTAAACCACTCCCACTCCCAAATCACGCTGTTAACATTTGACAGCTTCCCTTGTTTTTCACATCTCCACCTTTCTGTGCTTTCAGTGTGGAAGGGCTGTAGATATGGATATCTATGGCTCACAAGGCGCTTTGGGCCACATTGCTGCCAATCAGCTGGGTCACAAAGAGAGCCCCCAGAGCAGACCCGAGGCCACAGCTGTGGGCTTCAGCATGGCAGGGCTTCAACAGTAGAAAATTTTATCTTTTCTTGCATGAAAACAAAGCTCTTCTCTTGACTGAGATTTCATGCAGCGCTGACTGTTTGCTGGGCTGCTGCCAAGTAACGAAGGGCAGCATTTTCTTAAAAAAGCAGAAAGCGTATTAAAAGTTCCCAGTCTGTGTTTGTGAAGATCTCGAAGCCGCTTGATTAGGAGCTTGAAGTTGGTCGGACTCCTTCCAGATTCCCCTCTTCACCCTCCTTTCTGCATGATGCTGCAGCTGTTCTGATGAAAAACAGTTATTTAAAAATGTGCTTGTCGCTATGGCAACCTCCATGCGCTGTATTTCAATTGAAACTCTAAAACAGCGGCAGAAGTTTCTTAATAGGATATTTATGAAGATTTTAGTCTTTGTACATTTTAAAATGGAAATATTCAATTTTTAAAGGAGGTTATCAAAATCTCATTAATTTTGGAACTGCTTTTTTTGTTGCGAGAGCTGCTGCTTAGCTCTATTTTTTTATTTTTTAAGTGGTATTCTCTTTGTTTTTGTTTAAGATTCTTCTGGTTGCTTTAACCCTAGAGAGCCCACAACCTGAGGCACTTTCCCACTGCCTGCTCCTCCTCAGCCTTCTGCCCTTGCTAACAGACGGCTGTCTGTAATGGCAGGTGGAAAGGCACAGTCATGTTTGGATAGGGCTGACTCGGCTGGAGCATTGCCAGTCTTTGCCTTTCCACAGTAAATAATCCAGATAATTTATTTAGCTCTTTGTCAATGCAGTTTTCAGGTGTCTGCCTGCTCTGGGAGAAGCAAATAGATGTGTCTGCAGTTAGCCTATTTAGTGATAGTTCAACAGTTCTTCACAAAGGCACAACTTCCAGGGGGCACTTGCATTTGCCTGGGCTCAGCCACAGTAGTTTGTAACCTCCCACTCATCTCAGTGTGCCAGCTCCACCTGATGGGGTTAAATTCATAAAGCTGCTGAATTTTTTGTTCTTTGTTTTCTTCCCTCTTCTTTTTCTCCGCAGACATGAGCCTTCAAAATCACAGGGATAAAATTAAGGAAGCCTTGCACTCCGCTGCCTTAAATCCCCTGAGCCATGGTGTTATGTTCTAGTGCCTCCGAAGTGTGGATTAGGCCTCATTAATACTATTTCTTGACCAATGGTTTTGACACAAACTCGTCTAAGGGATTTGCGTAATTACAGCTTCAACAGAGAGGGCTTTTATTCCCCCCCCCCCCCCCAATCAGCAGTTCTCAGTACTGTGGCAGGGAACTTTGTTCCCTGATGGCTGTAGGAGCATGTCCACCCTGCCACTCTTGCTCTTTTTCACCTGGGCAGGTATGGAGCTGCTGGTTTGCTGCTGGAAGACACCTGAGGTGCAGACAGGCATGCTCCTGGGCTAGCACAAATCTGTGTAACGGAGCATCCGCACCTTTCGTCCATACCGCCTGACGCACACAGTGAAATGCTCTTCTTTTTGGCAATGCCTCACAATAGGTAACAATGAAGCAGCTGAGGAGGTGTTATCAAGGTACTTAGAGAGGATTTTTGTGTTTCTTTATACTTATCTATAGAGGAAAAGTTGAACTGATCACATCTGACAGTACATCTAAAAGAAAACATGCAAGGGATGGGAAATGCTCAGCATCCTGCAGCCCTCCCACTGCATTTCAGATGATAAGCAGTCTCCCCACGCAATGAGCAGCCCATGTATGGTCCACCTGGCACATCTGTTGCAGTCATCAGACAAGAAGGACCAAACACAGAGGAGTCTATGCCTATTAGACAGGCATGGCTCTGGAACTGCATGACTATGAAAGAGATTAATTTAAATAAGGAAACTTTGCAGACCATTGGCTGTAGTAAAGCAACCACACTTTGCTCATGGTTGTGAAGATCTAACGGAGGCTAGAAAAGCTGCCAAAAGGACTGAAAGTATGTCTGTGCTGGGAGGAGAAACTTACGGTTCTATAAGACAAGAAGAATCAAAGAAACTAAGGCTGGGTGAATTCTAAAGGGATCACCTAGTCCAAGCCATGCAATGTGCTATGAGGCATTAATAGGCAAAAAGGAAACATAGGGCTTGGGTTCAGGGTTGGATCCAGCTGTTAGCAGCTCTACGCTGTAACATTTCCCTTTCTCAGCTACAGCTGACAGGATGTGCAGAGCTCTGCATGCCCTTGGCACAGAAGTGAACTCACACGGAAGGGCAGAGCCTTGCCAAGCACCAGCAGTCTGTTACAGGCCAGCACAGCAGGGAAGGGGACAGAGCACAGAGCTAAAAGGATGTCATACACTCATGTCTGTCCTCTCTTCTACCAGGTCCTGGGAGGAACTCTGTCAGCCTGGAGGACTAAAGCTCCTTTGCCTTCTCTAGAAATTGCCACGTGCAGCACACAGACATACATGGCCTCAATGCACTTCCATCCATGTGCTGGAGGTACTGCAGTATTAATACAAAGCTTGGGATTAAAATAGTATTAACACACCCTCTACTTCAGGACACTGTAGCGATACAGTCATACCATGAGACAAGTATTTCTGGCTTAAGAGAAAACATTTTGATTCACACAGAGGCACCCAGGAAGATAAGTCAGAAACCACGGCATAACTTG